CAGTTGAGTGGTACTATCATTTCGTTTGGCTGCGGCAGTGTATTATTGGGTGATACTTTTATTATTTTCAGTTGCAATGACCTGCTGTTGGGTGCTTAACCCATTGCTTCATGAGCATTTTGTGAAAAATGGCTGTTTTCATTGAAAAGTCTCCCGTTACAAGTTCAAATTGCTATAATACTATAAAAACTGCTTCAACACTAATCAAACTTGGCACAAATGTTGACTGGACCATTGCCCTTGCAACAACATGCTCAGGCTTAAATTTTCTGTTACCATGGCAACGAGGGGACATCTCAAAATTGCCAAAAATCACTATTTTGCGTTGATTTATTCCATCAAAATTGATTTCAAAGTGCTGCAACTTCTCAATGGATTGAGATAGAGTCAAATGCTTTTCAGCGTTGCTTACACGTTACCTTATGATCAATCTGGGGTCATTTACAGCCTCTCACAAGCCCAAAATTTTCTTGGCGATGAGGGGGACTCCGCCCCCCTTCAAACCCCCCAAACAGAAGGGGGCACATCCCCCTTCTGGCACCCCCCTAATGTATCTTTTGGTTGGGGGGCCGCGCCGAAAAAGAGGTCACTTTTTTTAACAACATTTCTCAAACAAAAACAAGTGTTTTGGGCCTAAATAAGGCATTTTTTCATCATTTGAGACAACAAAAAGGGGGGGGGTGAAAAAGGCGTTAAAAGGCTTGTAGATGAAGTAATGGGTTAACAGAAAATGATGAAAATACTTGAAATTACCCTAAATCGCGTTTTTTCATGTTTAAACATGGCCTGTCATATAAATTTGATGAAAAATTGTTGTTTTGTAGATTTTTTATTTTTTTTCATTAACCCATTGCTTCATGAGCATTTTGTGAAAAATGGCTGTTTTCATTGAAAAGTCTCCCGTTACAAGTTCAAATTGCTATAATACTATAAAAACTGCTTCAACACTAATCAAACTTGGCACAAATGTTGACTGGACCATTGCCCTTGCAACAACATGCTCAGGCTTAAATTTTCTGTTACCATGGCAACGAGGGGACATCTCAAAATTGCCAAAAATCACTATTTTGCGTTGATTTATTCCATCAAAATTGATTTCAAAGTGCTGCAACTTCTCAATGGATTGAGATAGAGTCAAATGCTTTTCAGCGTTGCTTACACGTTACCTTATGATCAATCTGGGGTCATTTACAGCCTCTCACAAGCCCAAAATTTTCTTGGCGATGAGGGGGACTCCGCCCCCCTTCAAACCCCCCAAACAGAAGGGGGCACATCCCCCTTCTGGCACCCCCCTAATGTATCTTTTGGTTGGGGGGCCGCGCCGAAAAAGAGGTCACTTTTTTTAACAACATTTCTCAAACAAAACCAAGTGTTTGGGGCCTAAATAAGGCATTTTTTCATCATTTGAGACAACAAAAAGGGGGGGGGGGTGAAAAAGGCGTTAAAAGGCGTGTATATGAAGTAATGGGTTAATTCCTTCTGTTCAGTCGTGAAATAGAACTGTTGAATAGTACTATCATTATGTTCAGTTCAGATGATATACTGTTCGGTGCAGAGGTCATTCTGTTCAGTTCAGATGATGTACTGTTCGGTGCAGAGATCATTATGTTCAGTAGAGAACACAAAATGTTGTGTGATACCGTTATTATGTTCAGTTCAGAGGATATACTGTTTGGTGCAGAAGTCATTATGTTCAGTAGTGAACACAAACTGTAGTGTGATACCGTCATTATGTTCAGTTCAGATGATATACTGTTCGGTGCAGAAGTCATTATGTTCAGTTCAGATGATGAACTGTTCGGTGCAGAAGTCATTATGTTCAGTTCAGATGATGTACTGTTCGGTGCAGATGTCATTATGTTCAGTAGTGAACACAAACTGTTGTGTGCTACCGTCATTATGTTCAGTTCAGGTGATATACTGTTCGGTGCAGAAGTCATTATGTTCAGTAGTGAACACAAACTGTTGTGTGATACCGTCATTATGTTCAGTTCAGATGATATCCTGTTTGGTGCAGAGGTCATTATGTTCAGTAGTGAACACAAACTGTTGTGTGATACCGTCATTATGTTCAGTTCAGATGATATACTGTTCGGTGCAGAAGTCATTTTGTTCAGTTCAGATGATGTACTGTTCGGTGCAGATGTCATTATGTTCAGTAGTGAACACAAACTGTTGTGTGATACCGTCATTATGTTCAGTTCAGATGATATACTGTTCGGTGCAGAAGTCATTATGTTCAGTTCAGATGATGTACTGTTCGGTGCAAAGGTCATTATGTTCAGTAGTGAACACAAACTGTTGTGTGATACCGTCATTATGTTCAGTTCAGGTGATATACTGTTCGGTGCAGAAGTCATTATGTTCAGTAGTGAACACAAACTGTTGTGTGATACCGTCATTATGTTCAGTTCAGATGATATCCTGTTTGGTGCAGAGGTCATTATGTTCAGTAGTGAACACAAACTGTTGTGTGATACCGTCATTATGTTCAGTTCAGATGATATCCTGTTCTGTGCAGAGGTCACTATGTTTAGTAGTGAACACAAACTGTTGTGTGATACCGTCATTATGTTCAGTTCAGATGATATACTGTTCGGTGCACAAGTCATTTGACAATGCGCTGAGTGGTCATACAATTATGTTGGGTTCATTCGGATATCTTCGCGTCAAACAAGATGGCGGGCGGGAGCAACTAATTTCCATAGGTCACGTCGAGGCTAATGACCACTAAATTGTCAAAACAATTTTCTTCCCCGTAAATACCATCGGGAGCTTAAGAACGTTATTTCAATAAATTGGACAAATCGTATGGCATATTTAATACCCAATGGGTATTTTATCAAGTTAATTTATGACTATACTATACTGCTACAGTCATAATGGGCACAGTATATAAAACTTAAAATATGGGTAAGGGTAGCCTGTTCAAGTCACACATGACCACCGTAAATAAAACTTAAAATATATGTGTTGGTAACGTTTTAGACTCACAAGTGGACACATCAAACGAAATTTAAAATATGCAACATAATATACAAGTAAGGCAAACCTATTTGAGTCACACATGGCCACAGTTTATGGAACGTTAAATATAAGTATGGAAACCCCATTTGAGACACACATGACCACAGTAAATGGAACATTATATATAAGTAAGGGTAGCCTTATAAAGTCAAACATGGCCAAAGTATAAAGAAAATTCTATATAAGTAAGTGAAACCTAATTGAGTAACACATGGCCACAAGATATTAGACATACTGTTTAACTCAGGGAAATGTATTTGAGTCAAATTTTATTAGGCTACCCTTACTTATCTTACTTATATATAATGTTCCATATACTTTAGTCATGTGTGACTCAAATAGATATCCCTTACTTAAACATAATGTTCCATATATTTTGGCCTAGTGTGACTCAATTAGGTTTTCCTTACTTATATAGAATGTTCTTCATAATGGGGGTATGTGTGACTTTATTGCGCTACCCTTACTTACATTTAATGTTCCATATACTGTGGCCATGTGTGACTCAAATAGGTTTCCCTTACTTAAATATTATGTTCCATTTATTGTGGTTATGTGTGACTCAAATGGGTTACCAACACATATATTTTAAGTTGCCTATGCTGTGGCCATATGTGACTTTAATAGGCTACCCTTACTTATAAGCTCCATATACTGTGGCCATGTGTGACTCAAATAGGGTTCCCTTACTTGTATATGATGTTTTATATTTTAAATTTCGTTTGCTGTGTCCATTTGTGACTCTTATAGGTTACCAAACAGATACATTTTAAGTTTTGTTTACGGTGGTCATGTGTGACTTTAACAGGCTACCCTTACCAATATGTTAAGTTTTATATACTGTACCCATTTTGACTGTAACAGTAAAGCATAGTCATGAATTAACTAAATAAAATACCCATTGGGTATTTAAAAGTCCAATTTATGAAAATAACGTTCTTAAGCCCCCGATGATATTTACAGGGAAGAAAATTGTTTTGGCAATTTAGTGGTCATTAGCCTCGACGTGACCTATGGAAATTAGTCGCTCCCATCTTGTTGCCCGAAAATATCCGAATGAACCCAACATAATTGTGGTATCACACAACAGTTTGTGTTCACTATTGAACATAATGACCTCTGCACCGAACAGTATATCATCTGAACTGAACATAATGATAGTACCAAAAAACAACTGAACATAACGACCTTTGCACCGAACAATACATTGACTTGACTGAAGAAGATGATATAAGCACACAAGATAATGATAGTACCATTTAAGATAATGATTGTACCATTTAACAGTTCTATTTCACGACTGAACAGAAGGAATAAAGCACCCAACAGCATGTCATTGCAACTGAAAATAATAAAAGTATCACCCAATAATACACTGCCTAAGCCAAACAAAATGATAGTACCACTCAACTGTTTATTTTCATGGTTGAACATGATGAGAAGAGCACCAAACAGCATATTATTATAACCGAACATAATAACTGCAACACCCTACAACATATCTTTTTAACTCAACATAATTGTGTTACCACATGCCTGTTTGTTTTAAGAACTGAACATAACGACTAATGCACCCGACAATACATTGACTTGACTGAATAAAATACAGTCAGCACACAACATAGCACTTCAATAACTGAGCACATTAGGATTTCCACCCAGCATTTTGTATCTCGGACTCAACAGAAAGACATTTAACCAGGTATATCATTCATTCTTAACATAAGACAGTCCAGGCGTTCCATATGATAGTATTGACTTTCTGGTCAATATTAATGGTGTAGTTTTCATTCGTGTAAAGTGTTCTTATGGAGCTATTACTATTTCTTGAGAACATTTTATTTATAAATTTAACTTCTACGTAAAGTTTACCATAAATATATATGCTTTGTGCAAAATAAAGTCAAAATGAAACTGTTACTTTTATTGCAATTTTAAAGTTAAGGTTTTTTAATTTCATTCATAAGGTGCTTCAAGAATACGGTTCTAGTACTGCGGTTAATTTGTATTAGCCAAAGACAAGTAAGAAGTAAAATGAACAATAGCTTTTAATTCTCAATACATGAGTAAAATGCCTTTAGTACCTGTACATTCTCATATATCTGGGAGTTTCTAGAACTTTCTGTGTTACGGAGGCCTATAAATCCAGTGTTTGACCAGAATGGTATCAGTACAACTTGCTTGTTTAAAATAGAAGTCTTTACAATGCCGTAACTTACTTTCTAAAGATGTAGGAGGACCAGCATGAATCACACGTTTCACATGTCTCAAATCTGCGCCCATGCCTAGAGCCACAGATGCAAAAATCAGCCTTATGGCTGACTCTTCCTCCTGTAGGGTCTGGACAATATGTTTCTTCAGCTGAAATTCATTTTAAAAAAATACAAAAGTTTTGAATCCTTCTGACTGGAAGTTGAAACTATTTATCATTTATATCTTTAAAAAAATACAATAATTTTAGATAAATGGTATGTTTACATTTGTTTAAGTATGTTGCTTGTTACACATTAATTTTTCATAGAAACAGTGTAAAATCTTTTAAGCCCACCTAAAGCATACATGATCATTACACTGTTTCTCTATAAAATCTATGAAAATCTATGAAAGTAGCCATATAATAATAATAATAATGCATTTTCTTATAAAACTGCTTCAGGAAAGGTCATACATATACTTAACTACAAAAAAAAACTCCTTATAAGCAGCTTAATTAGTAGGCATAGCTGCCAAGTGAATTGTTACCATACTTCACTGAAATTACATTATTATAAAAATACCATTAACAGAAAAAAACATAATGGCAATAACATTTGACTATTTCAAAATAAATTCACTGTAAAGTTGAAAATAAATAATACCTTTCCATCTGGGCCCTCCATAGATGAATGATACATAACAACTCTAGTTGTTTTCTCTGATGGCGCTCCTGAGTAGAATTCATCACCAAGTACTGCCTTTGCTAATTCATATCCATAACCTATCCAGTTCATAGTCTTGCAATATATTATGGTTATCCCAAAGTTATCAAGTTCACTCTTAAGTTGTTGTAAAACTGGTACAAATATATAATCGTATGGCGTCAAGGATGTATTTCCCTTCGAGTTTGGACTCGGACGATTCTTGACAATCATTTTAATATTGTCTTTTGCAGGGCTAGCACATACAACTTCAAAGTTTGTCATATGAAGACATTTAGCTATTTCTTTTTGCCCGGCTCTAGTTATTGTTGCTGACAATGCAAGAATTGGGCAACTTACAAGAGACTTCAATTGGTATGTTCTTTTAAAGTCCTTCCTGAATTCTTTGCCCCATTCAATGACACAATGAGCCTCATCTATTACAAGAAACTTGTCATACTCTTGAAATTGAGATGAGCGAAAAAGTTTGTTTATTTCAGGAGAGTTTTAAAACAGTTTCTGGGTGAAAGAAAAAATATTTGGTATTTGATAAGTCAATAGTGTCTATATTCATTGACAAGGAAAATGATTGTCCACTGAGTTTCACCGTTTGCTGTTCAATTATAGCGTTTTAAAGGCACAATAACAATAACAAGACACTTTGGAACAAAAAACGGCAGAATTTCATATATAAACGATTTTCCATAACCAGTTGGAAGTGCACAGATGCAGTCTTTTTTAGATAATAATGTTTGTATTGCTTGCAGCTGTAGCGGTTTAATTTCTGTTATTTTGCAATTGAACTCTGTAGAGTAGTTCTGCAAAGCATCTGTGATTGACTGGCTACTTATATCCTGAAAACAGAAAAAGACATGACACTTTTATTATAAACATAAAAAAGCCAGGTCATTTTTAATTAGATTGGTGGGGGTACCACATTCTATACATGTATAAATACTAACAATCAGCTTCTATTGAATTAAATTTAATATCCATTTCTATGTTCATAAATGTGTGTGAGGTGCAGTGGCGGATCCAGGATTTGGTCTTAGGTAAATCATTGAAAGTGTTAAAAGTTGACAGTATTGCAGTAAGTTATTTTAAGCGTGTTTTGGTGCCGTTTGGGCCACATTTCTATTATAATAAAGCTTAAAATGATGCGCGAGAGAGGAAAAATTGAGAAAAAATTAGCGTTTTTGGGCATAAAAAATCATAAGTCTGCGGCCATAGGGGGGGGGGGGGGGGCGTGCGCCGGGTGTGCCCCCCCCCCCACCCTGGATCCGCTAGTGAGGTGGGTAGGAATAGTCCTGGCAACGTCCCACCACCATCTAAACCAGAGGATTCTAATTTTTTGTAAAACTGTTCTACAGAATGAATGTTAACATTACAATATTATCAATTATCAATGTATCAAAACTGAATAAGCATTTATTCAGTATTTTCTGTAAGTTTGACACAAACCTTATCAGACTTAATGTTGGTGGTGGGACGTTTGCCGGGATATTGCCAACACACATTCGTATTGATCACAATACAAAACAAAATCATTTTACAAGAAAACTTATGATTTCATATCTGAAATATCACAATCTTCGTATTTGTCCGAAAAGTACTCAACTTATTGAAGTTTAAAAAAAATAACATGTGAAAATGCTCCACGAAAATAAACGTTATTTTTAAGAATTTTATATATACATATCGATTAAAAATTCAACAATATCCCGATGAACCACTTTTTAAAAATATTTGGTTAACTTACAGCTATCATCGCGTCGACCATTGTTTCGTCAATGCCAGACTTCTATTTGTTTACAATAGAAGCTGGGAACCAGACTATGTTTACAATAGAAGCTGGGAACCAGACTAGCATGCTTACTGCCAACTGCTTAGTGCGTACTGTCACATGCGACTATAATATCGCTATCGTTGTCATCTTCGTTGTCGATGCGCAGTGATCATGTTTTGCATTATATTTGTAATCAGTGAATATATTGAAGCATATGAATGCTAAAACACATCAAATTCGCCAATTATTGATCAAAATTAATAATTTATTGTGACATAATGTCGACAATATAAGTGGCAGATTTATAGCAAATTAAAGGTACTGACAGTAACTTACCATGTTACATATAGTTATATCAAGAACAAGCAAAGAATGTTATCTTAAACACCAAACATAATACATTGTCCTTAATAAAAGATGCAATTAAACATATTGCATATTAAAATATGTGAGTTTGATGGTTTAGTAGGGAACACATAAGGTTGCAATTACATGGAAAGTACATTCAGTAATCACAAGGCATGATTGAATTAAGCAAAACGCAGGTTTTCATTGTCATAAAGAAGTATAGAAGCAAGCATAATGTAAGTCCCGATATCATAAAGCAAGATGGAATAAATGCACTAATTCTGTTCCATACAGATAATTGATACCAATTCTGCAATTAATATATTGACGATTCACTGCTGTGTACCCTTTTTATTAACACAGAACGATTTGATAGAGCATTTTGGTTTTCATGTAACATATGCCGTCGAAGCCTACGTCTTTAAATTTTATTAACTTAATTGATAATACGAGATTTTGTGCGTTTTGCCTTAATTCATTGATATTTATTCATTCATTGTTTTTGCTAATATCAACGTCTTCATTATAGTTATGTCACTTTGCCAAGGACGCTGCGCCTTATTCTATATTATGTTTTAAAATCATTCAAGTGACTAAGATATATTCAAATCTTCATACTGATTATGTTCTCGTATTGGCTATCTTTCAAGAAATTGACGAGTATCTTATTACATTTTGATATAACATATTTTGATGTCATTTGCAACGATATAATTATTTAATCTCATATTCTTTCTACTATCACTCCATAAAATTAGTTTGGTATTTCTTAGTGTAATTTTAGTCACTAAAATGTGTACTAACTTATTTTTGCAATATCCTGACAATTATGTAAAACAAAGATAAACAAGGGTGTGCCACTTTCCTCGTTAATCTTGTTTTACATCCTAGTGTTTAAGCATTACAGGTAGTCCTAATATGCCACAAATGTATGCCCAGTTATGCCAATATCCATCTAATGAATGACAGAATTTATGACCGGACATGACATTCAAAATATGACCTTTAATGTCTGAAATCTTACTTTATGCGACAATTCTTTTCTCACTCAAGACAAATTGCTTCAAAGTACAACGTATTTATTCTTAGATCTTGCTGAATAACACATATATGGACTGGACATGGCCGCAAATGCACTCTCATAACCATGACTTTTTGAAATACAAGTGTGACCTTGAAACATTTTCCGCTACATTTTGTCTTACGAAGAAGATGCACCATATTTATCCCAAATGATCTTTAATTCATCCATGAATGACAAAATCGTTAACCAGACTTTTAGACACTTTAAGGAAATATTTTGTTCGAAGTTGAAAGTATGATTTTGATCTTTGATTTACATCATCAGATGGTTAACATGTGAACTCATTGTCCCAATGTGCCATATATTTATGTCAGAATTATTATTTCAAAAGGCATCAATTAATGAGAAAGTATATAGATCGGACACAACCATCTTGTTACGTTTATATCATGATTTATGATATAGAAGTTTAACTGTAGACATAACCCTGCTTGTGCATGACACGACCTTTTCAAATTTTCACCTTTACGGCAGATATTGTCGTTCCAGGACGGCGGCCTATACAATTAACAAGATTTAAATATTTTTACCTGTACACCGCCTGCTCTTAGGTCAATCAAAACAGATAATTTAATACCACATGATAACAAAATAGACGACAAAATCCTAACACAGAGGCCTCAACCACCATGTTCTTGTCGGGTTACCTATATAAGCAAATGAAATACTATCCTCATGCACGGAACCTCGAACTAGTATTAGGGGGCTTCCATGGGATAAAACACCATATGGAATTTTCTCTTACAAGAAGAAACATTAACTCTATTTATCAGGAAAGTAGTCTATTTCATGAAAAAAATGTTTTTTTTTCAAATGCCAAGCCTTGATGGCGATTCCTTTATAATGATTTTACTTTTGGAAATTCTAAGACTTTTTTAAAATATCATGTCGTGCATGAAAAAATGTTGGACCGGCTCCCCACTAATGAACTTTTACAAAACTTGTCTTTTCTTGCTAGACATGACCCTGATCTATGGACTGTTGAATTGGCTCTCAATCACTACACGTCCCAGTACATGTTCTTGTGCAATTGACATTGACATAAGAATAACCCAAACAATTTTCATTGGTATCCCTGTTTAATGATAAGTAATAATATAAAGTACATCATTTTCCCAATCCATTATAGGCTGTATATTTATGCTCAACTTTTTTCAAAATCCATCTCTTAATGACAGAATACTAAAATGCACATCTTTTTTTCAAGCACTATCAAGTCTTATTCGAGGGGTTAGGTTCAAACCTGGGTCTTTCTTATGACATTGTATCCATGTGCCACACATTAAAATGCAATTTATTTCAAAATCTATCCAAAAATGACAGATATGGACGGGATTAAAAATGGACAGACAGGGACAAGCTCTTACTGAAAGATTTGTCTGAAGATGTCTGTATTCTTTCATGTTTGTTTCTTACTCCAAAAGCAGCCTTTTGCCTCTCATAACCAATGATTCATCCTATAGGTTGGGGGTATACCAAAATAATCTAAACGCATAATTGTGATTGCAAATACCCCTAACTGGACACAAGAGGACGCTCGTACAGATAGACAGACGAACATACATTTGAGCAGGTCCCCCCTCAGGGCGATACAAATCCAATTTAAAAAAAAAAAAAACATCGCAATAATTTGAAGAACATGCATTGTATTCTAAGAAGTAAAAAATAACATCTCCATGACAAAGTGAACGCAAATATGCCTCTTCATTTACGTTGTATTAGGGTATAAATTGTGGACCTTTTTGCACCATAAAGTTTGTAGTTTTAATGGATGTTTTTCAAAATCTGCACTTGGAAGTCTTAATAAGTATCACTGCACTTCTTATAAAAGAAAACATGCATGGTTAAATGCCTTCTTATGCTTGTTAACTTTAAATATAATACAGTGTATAAAACATAGGAAATTGTCAGCCATTTTGAATTCCAAGATGGCTGCCGCAATAAATTTTATTGTTTTTGCATCTATTCTTCTCGTTCACACTTCAGCAGACTAAAATTAACAAAACCTTAAATTAAAATGCCAAAAAATATGTATATATCTCGCCCATGGGAAAATAAAAGTTAAATTAAAAAATTCAATGGCGGCCATTTTGAATTTGATTTTTAAAGGTCAAGGACTAAAAATACAGCCGTGGTAGAGCAAAAAATGAATTCAGCGTACTCGAAATAGGTAAGTAAGCCCAACTACCTGCTTGTACTAAAAAATGCCGTTAGGATGAACATTTTCCCAAAATCAAACCAGTCTATCACAACTATAATTATTTATTTCCAAGTTAATATTTTCATTTTTTGATAACCACGTTTCATTTAAAAACACTAGATCATATATTTGAATGAACTCTAAAAAGTCCGAATCACATAATTATAATATATGTCAAATATTTAAACAAAGTATTGCAAAAACATGTGTTCATACGAAAATTGATTTACGATAATTGATTAAAGAACGCATATGTAAAACATTTGTCACACCTTTAATTTAAACAAGCCAAATCACCTTAGGATTGTTGTAGAAATATTTAATTGACGCCGAAATAATCCTTTAATTATCTGACAATGTATTTCAGATTTCAAAACAATGCGGCAATTAAAGCTTATGTTTTGTTTACAAATTAATTGACGCGAGCCGATGTATGCCGATTAAGAGGGTTTAAAATAGCTTAAACACATACATAAAATAGTATACAACAAACAACAACAACAATTTATTTAGCAATTAAGCATTACAATGCTTTAGCCAATAATATACATTTGACATAAGGTGACAAAATTGACACGAGAAATCATTAGCAATCAAATATTTTCTGCATAGAGAAGCTTACACAATAAATAAACTAGTTTGACATAGGTAAATTTAAATCGATACTAATATTAATAATAATTATTATCAACTCAATCAAATTATTACTCTGTGTCGAATCGTTATGTGGCGAAATCGTTAGTGTGGCGAATCGTTACATTACCAATGATAGTACCACTCAACTGTTGATTTTCATGGTTGAACATGATGAGAAGAGCTATTTTAACCGCACACAACAACTGTCACACTCTACAACAATATTTTTAACTCAACATAATTGTGTTACCACATCCTGTTTGTTTTTAAGAACTGAACAGAACGACTAATGCACCCGACAATACATTGACTTGACTGAAATAAAATGTAATCAGCACACAACATTTCACTTCAATAACTGAGCGCATTTTGGATTTCCACCTAGTATATTGGGATTTTGACCCAGCATATTGTATCTCGGACTCTACAGAATGACATTTAACCATGTATATCAGTCATTCTACACATAAGACAGTCCAGGCGTTCCATAATGTGAGTAACAGACTATTAACTAGTAAGGTATATACTCAACCAATCAACAGCCAGGATTCATGAAGCGGACGACAGTGACCGTGACCACGGCCAAGGCCAAATAAAACAATAAAACCGATGTAAATATTATCACATGGAATGTGTGCGGTCTTTATAAATTTATTGACAATTTAGAAATTAAGTCTTTTTTTAAGTAATTATGACATTATAGTCCTCTGTGAAACATGGAGTAAATTTAAGGGTGAATTTGACAATTTTATTAATTTTATGTAATTTTGACTTTGTTCGTAATATGAAATCGAAACTCCATAAGGA